AATTCGTGGCATCGGGTTTATGATTCTAAACCTGATGAGAGTATTTTGGAACTGTATCAATTCTGCAATCCCTGCTGATGACCAATCGACCACTAGATTTGTATCAACGCTAAATTTCAATTCACTTCTTTGTAGATCTAAAACGAAGAAGGTGTATACGTTTTGTCTTAAAGATAAAGGTGAGTTTTAGTAGTGCGATTGCATTGTGAAAGAAAAGGTGTGGATGGATCAGAAACAGTTGATCATGTAGCATGTAAGTATTGGTGTGCACTGCAAGGTTCTGGAGTCATCAAAATCATAATGAATTTGGACGAGTCTTGGTAAAGTAACAAGCACTGTACGAAGAAAGCTATGGGACAACACACATGGTGTCGGGGCTAGTACTACCTTGATGTCCTTGTCTTTCTATGCTCATTACTCAGCCAGTATACATTTTCTTCCAAAATTGTTGACACATGTCATTTATTTGTAATCTTGAACATTCAGTGTAAGTTTCGTTTGATTCTGTGAGAATTAATTTTCTTTTTTTTACCAGAACTGGAGTTTATCTTTAAACTATACACAAAATATGGTATACAGTATGAACCGTTTTCTTGTCAATCTCTCTCTTTTTATCTTATTTGAACGGATCTCTTTCTTAAAGGTAATACAAAGTTTTGGAAAATTTTGAAAATTGGATGGTGGTGATTCTTTTCAATTTTGATATATTTGGATGCCCCTGTGGATGTAATACAAGCACTAGAAAATTTAGCCCTAAAACACTTCTGCTTTCGGGAAAAATTGAATATACAAATTTACCGGTGCTCCCGGTAAATGCTGCTAAATTTCAAATGGCGCCGTACGGCCGTACAATGGTAGCTGCGACCATAAAAATTTCAGAATTATGTAGTTGTGATATATAATTTCCTAATAGCTAATAGGTCGATTTTAGTTAAGAAACATTGTTTTATAGCTTGATTAATATCTTGACCTTGAGAGGGAGCTATACAACATAAAGAGTTTATTATTTATAATTTCATAACTTTAGAATCGATTTCTACCGCGACAACGATCACTGAATATTGTAGGGTCGCATATGCTTCCAATATGTTCATTTAAACCAAATTCATGACACCATACCAAAACTTTGTATTACCTTTAAGTGAGCATCCGGCAAATGAGCGAGCACTGGTGTCATGCGGGGGGGGGGGGGTGACTGCAAGTGCCCAGTGCCCAGGGAGCTACGCCACTGCATTTTTGTTTTTAGCAACTTACAATGTCACCACGTCCTTCGAGTCGGAAGTACAATCGATGCGATCTCCATCTTCTTGAAAAGCAAACACAAGGACACTTGATTATTTATCTTTATGATATTGATCGGGGCCATGATTCCATTTGCAAAGCTGCCTGATTGAAAGACTTTCTTGATGTGTTTGATGGCTGATGAGATATTTGCCCTCGTCTTCCTCTGCCTTTAATTTATTTTCTGCTGTATTGTTAGTATCATGAATGAGAGGGTGCAATGAATGCAATAGCACAACTATATCTACCGCACTACCAATTCTACATCCGCTTTAGTATTGGGTGAACTACTGTCAACCACTAGTTCTATTTACCTTTAACTATTATTAAGTATTACTATTAGTTTCTTTCTTACTACTACTCCTGCTATTTAACTATTACTATCACTATCACTATTATTACTATTGCTGTCATGACTATTGCTACTACTATTACTCCTGCTACCACCACCGCCACCACCACCACCACCACCACTACTACTACCACTACTACTACTACTACTACTACTACTACTACTACTACTACTACTACTACTACTACTACTAGTACTACTACTACTACTACTACTACTACTACTACTACTACTACTACAACCAATACTACTTCTTCTTCTACTGCTACTACTACTACTACTACTACTACAACCAATTCTACTTCTTCTTCTACTGCTACTACTACTACTACTCCTACTACTTCCACTATTACTATTTCCACTACTACTATTTAACGCATGCAATCGTGCATCCCCCACGCACCCACACACAATACTATAATATACATGTATATGTATAACCAATTCATGGATACGCAATCTTTGCCTTTATACACCAAAATAAGCAATATAACATCAAACAGCGGGCATGTTTCTTCTCTTTTCAAGGTAAACAAAATGTCACTGATACGAAGCATCTTAGGGTCATGACCTAATTCCAATGATGGAGCTTTCCATCATGGTGCACTTTCTGGACATGGTCCTCAAATATTTGTTATTTTTTGGCCAACTATCTTGAAATCTTGGTGGGCGTGATGAAGTAGCCCTGCCGTATAGAATGATACAAAGATGGGTAGATCTATATTGATGGCGACTTCATCGAGAAAGAGATCAGACAAATGTTTGTTAGCTGTAGCCATTGTGATGGTAGATATAGCTCCTTGATTTTCAATACAATTCACCTTCGAGATCAATCGTATATCAAAATTGAATTTAAATCATTAATGATATTAGTTATCACTACATAATCCATCATTATTATCATCATCATCCTCGTTATCATCATCATCATAATTATTATTATCATTGTTATTACTAATATTGTATTATTAATATTGATATTATTATTGTAATTATAATGTTAGTATTATATTTACCATTGGTATTATTATTGTCATCATTATTACTATCATTGCTATCATTCTAATTACTGTTATACTATTACTAACATTTTATACTATTACTTATCTTCATCATCATCATCATCATCGATATTATCATCCTCATCATTTTCATCATCATTGTCTAAGATCAATTCCTAATTTTGTGAAAGTAATGGACGTGAAGCATAAAGGCCTATGTAATCGCCTTTCCTATCAATTACAATTTAGACCAGAAGAGTTCACTTAAAAATCATCCAATACTACCGAAGACGAAATGTTGTACAAAATATCTGTTCAAACACAAGCCTATCGATTTTCAAAAAGCCGGGCGAATTGGAGATAAGTCTCTCATCCATTTATTTATTTATATAAATATATCACTAGTCAGGGGCTGTATCAAGAATCGTTTTTCAATGTTAATGGATATAAATGATTAAAAGCCTAATGCCGCTCAGTAATATTTCGCGGCGTCGCCCTCTACCATAAGATTATTTTTCTTCGCCTGTAGAATACAAACTGACAAAGTCATGTCGATGCCGTGAACTTTGCTTCACAAAGATCACCGTGAAATATCATGAAGTTGATTGAGTCCTACATCATTACACGATAAAGCAAGTACTGTCTGAAAAAAAAACATTCATAATACCACATCCAAAATGACTCTTTCGTCAAATTAGAGGGATTCCTACCATTTTCAAAAGATTATTCTTTCATGGCAACCCTGAGTTTACCGGCTAGTATTTTTGCACGTGCTCATTCATCGCTAGTTTATTTCGAAGATTGATGGTTGTGATGATGGCGGGAGGGGGGGGGGGGGGTGAGGTTGTGAGAATGAGCAACAAATAAGCCAACATCGAGGGTCTACAGATGATCAAATGTTTCGAAATGGTTGAAGATATGTAACACAACAGAAATATTAAGGGGGTTTACAACCTCTATTTACCCCCTTAAAACGAGGACCATGTGTGCTAAACGAGTGTTTATCGTTTTCCTTCTGTTAACTTCGTTACCCCCTTTGGGTATCCCTTTTATTTTTGATGATTAAAGTCTGAACGATCTCTTTAATAATGTTTCACAACAAAGTATAAAGCTGCAACCCGTTGAAACGATACCTTACAATACAAAGTACAAGCTTATCGGGGTTAATGTCCCGTCAATACAATCTTCTGATGAAAGATGGATGAGAGGTAAATGGAAGGAAAGAAATTAAGAGGATGTCCATCAAGTCTTAATGAGTCTTTGGTAATGTCCTCAGGTATCACAGACAACAAAAGGCGTAGGTAATAGGACTGGATCAACAGGGGGTAATATAAGCATGCGGGAGCTCTCGTGTGTGCGTATAAAAGACCGGTTTATTTTTGGTATAAAAAATAGCGGATTTATCCTGGAATGAATGGAAAATGTTTTTCTTTCTTTCGGAGCAAAGGCAATTCGGGTAGCATGAATGTCATTTGTGTGACCCGCTCGCAGCCCTGGCTTTTGTGTCAGCAATGATTAGACGTGGAGAGAAAACACGGGGCGAACTGGGATTATGATGGTGTGGCACTGGGATCACAAGTCTGACTTACTGACAGTCATGAGTTCCGAAGCTATTCCCCATGTCTTGGCATTTTATATCAGCCGATCTTCAGACCAGGAATCCACCAGCCGTCAAGCCATAGTATACATGTACCTAAAACAAAAAAGCAGATCTGATCGAATCTGACGGTATGACACCAATGTTATGACTCTATTATTAACCGAACATGCTAGCTGAATGACCGAGGAACCAACGAAATACTTGTACCATCTGCGTAAAACAACCTTCAATACGTCTACGTCTTAAATGAGAAGTTTTCTTCGATTTTGAATGTTACTCAAAAATTAATTTCACCAATATTGTACTCTGAGGCAGCTACTAACCCAAGTACAATTGGTATTGTCATCAGAACTGGTAAATATTATCGCATTTTGGATTCAGAGAAACACATTTTGTGCCTTTTTTACACCAATTGTGGAGGTTAACATCGGTGTGTCTCTTCGGGAAAGTGCACCTCTTTTATTTTCTGATTGGAGCAACCTGGATATGCCACTGCTTAGTCACACTCCATAAACTCCCAAAGAAATTATTTTCCTGTCATTTACTCTTTTGTAAACGGAATGCTTCTGATAAAAGCTGAAGTTCGCATTTTTGTTCCTGTTATACCTTTCAAGTTCATTACGTGTTCACAATGTTACAGTCATGTTCATGACGGATTACATGGTGTATTGTGAAGTGTGCGTTTTATCATACCCAAAGTTGGAATTCCCACGGATAATGGTGTATACAGTCATAAGCTAAAGACGGACAATCATCTAGTACAAGGGTAAGATATCTAATTTGTCTCGGTGTGGGAGACGCTCATTTGTGGATAAAAGGTAATTGCCGGATCAGATCTATAATGTAATATACATGCAATTGATATACTATATGCCCATTAATAACACTGAGAAGCAAAATGATATCCTTTGCATTTGAATGTTTGAATTTGCATGTCATTTGCATGTTTCTTCTTCTTCTTTGGTGCACTTTGCTTCCTTCAATCTTGAAGATTCTTGCAGAACTTTAGAGTGTGTCACAAGAATAGGGTGCATGTGCCAATAATTAACAAGTTGCAAGTAACAGCAGCATTGGATCTAGCTGATGGAGCCTCTCGTTAATTGGAGACGAAAGACTTCAACAGATGGGTAGTTAGGAGAGATGATAGACTTTTTTTTAAGCTTTAGGTAGATTACACACACCTCTAGTTCTTTTATAAAGAGATAACAACTGTTGGACTTCATCAGCGGCTCATAACGTATATAATCCACCTTACAATGGCTTCTATAGGCCCTGTTTATAGATTGTCGTCGGGTAGTTAGGAGAGGTGATAGACTTTTTTTTAAAAGCTTTAGGTAGGTTACACACACCTCTAGTTCTTTTATTAAGAGATAACAACTGTTGGACTTCATCAGCGGCTCATAACGTATATAATCCACCTTACAATGGCTTCTATAGGCCCTGTTTATAGATTGTATGGTTTTGTTGCTTCTAAAGCGCTATTAGAGCTTGGAACACATCTAGCAGTGCGGCAATCGTAGCCGAGTTCCTTGGGAGCGGCAGTTGTGATAGACCTTCCTGTAGGCTTCACCGACGGCTAGTTTCACCAAGATGGAGTAGTAACTGCGGTATACGTGTTTCTTTGTCTTTGGACAAGTTGTAAGGGAAAGTGAGGTAAGTTGAGCCAGTGGTTAAGTTCCACAAATCTCGTATTTAGGGAACTCGGTGGAGTAAAAAGGTTTGTTTCACTCTCCCGCTATTCCTTGCACCGATTGAGGAATTTGCATCTACTGTTATGTTTCTTAATTGTGTTTTATGTTTTCCATGAGTTCGCCAACTATCATTTCAATTTATGGTTATACGCATTATACAGACTGTGTTATACGCATAATCATACACTGCACTGCTAAACCGACTCCAGACCGATCAAAGCCTGACAAAATCTCGGGCATTAAGGTTAAAGGCCAAGTCCACTCCAAAAATAACTTACTTTCAATAGAAGCAGAAAAATCCGACAAACCAATCAAAAAAAGTTTGAGAAAAATCGGATAACTAATAAGAAAGTTTTGAATTTTAATGACATGAAAAACTTTAAAAGTCACTAGACAAATTGGCAACTCACTCATTAGACTGTGACGTCATGTCATCACTATCCACTAATTATTTTCTTTATATTGATAATATAAATGTGCTATTCTTCCCCTAAGAATCTTATTTCTGCACTCCAGCATCCAAGTTAGATTGATAGTAATATGTTTTCGTGTGGATGCACTAATATAGAGTAAATTTTTCCAGTTAAATCATGAAAAATGTGAATTTTGATAAACTATTTATATAAAAATCAATAATTATGAAATTATGATTATCCAAAATATAGTATCAATTCTCCAAAGTTTATAAAAGATTTTGTGAAATGTCATTCACGCAATATGATACAAATCATATAACCTGGGCAAAGGCATGGAGAAATCAAGTTTTGGGGGATAAAAAAGGAAATTAATGGGATTAAACTATATAAAGCAACTGATAATTAGTTAGGACATGACGTCACAAACTAATAACCAAAATGGCGATTTGTGTAGTAATTTTCATTGTTCCATAGTTTTACATACTTTTTCAAAAATTCATAACTTTCTTATTAGTTATCCGATTTCGCTCAAACTTTTTTCGATTAGTTTATCTGATTTTTCTGCTTCTATTGAACGTAAGTTATTTTTTTAAATGGACTTGCACTTTAACTTATTATTCTGTCCTGGTATTGGTCTCACCTGTGTCTGCAGAGTATTAATCGAAGGTGTTTCTTCTATGAATAAGTGACGTAACAAAATGAGTGACATAATTCTACTAGCATATAAAACGTGCAGATTATGCTCAATATGCTGCATGTAAGGTGTAAGGACAAATACTTTGGATTAAAGACAATTTCTTTATAATCGGAAATCTTGTGAAGCCATCCATGTGAACAGAAAGGACAAATTATGCTGCGTGCCAAGTCGATAAGATAGAAAACAAGAGAGACTACTTTGGATGAAGGCCTCTGACTTAATATTAGTAAACTTGATTAATACAAGTCATTTATTCGAGAGAGAAAAAGGAAATAGTATGTAAATGAAAAGGTACTAGGATGTTGTACTAGACGGAATTATTGTCGATGATTATTTGACTTTTAACAACCGAATAAACAACCATCTTAAGAGGACCTACGGCTTTAGGTCCTGACCAAGCGACTTGAAATATGAAATTAGTGCCCCAACCAAAGGGCACTACTGCACCGACTTGGTTCGAAACCATGCACCACTAACTTCTGGAAACTCTGTTTTATCTACTAACCCTCTCACATCGCATTAGTTGGCCATTTTCGCAATGTAACCAAATTTATACTTAAGTGCCTTTATACGAATTATTCCATATACCTGTTCCGAATAATTGACAATTCAAAAGTCAGAATTCAAATTGCATTGCGGGTTGCTAGGTAGGGCAAGCCACAATGTTTTCGTACCTAGCAACAACTAATAACTATAAACATATAGAGATACATTTATTCGTTTAATACAGGTGAATGAAATAAATCGTATCGAAGCGCTTCACAAAAGGCATAAGCATAAATTACTTTAAATAAAATGGAATATTGCTTCATCGTCTATATACAGTTTAGGTTTTTCTTTGGCATGTTGGGAGGGAATGGGTTATATCGGACCCTTATTTAAACAAAAAAAACGCACTTTAAACTCTTTGTTTGCCAGATGATAGCCTTGCATAGTTTGAAAGTGGTTTGATTTGCTACTAAATTATGTACATGCAATATTTTGAAGACATTTTGAAAAGTTATCATGAATCTTCTTCCAAATTCAGTTTGATAACCTTCTAATTTGCAATTTGAAAACTCCTATCTAACATGAGTGTTAACTTTATGTGATCACAAGAGCATAGGTGTAGGAAACTGCATTTCTATTTCATTACCCTCACCAGCGTGTGTGTGTGTGTGTGTGCGCGCGCGCGCGTGCGTGTATACGTTAGTGTGTGTGCGTATATTTTCTGTGTGTTGTGTGTTTATTCAATTGTTTTATTCAATTGTATGTTCTTGTTTGCATTACAAATTTGGAGGAATAAAACAAAATTACAAAAAAGTGTGTGTGCGTGAGCGTGCACGCGTGTGTGGCATAATATGGGTTAACATTTCTTAACCATCTTGCAAGCGTTCCGATCCATATTTTAGTGTCTCTCCCCGGGCTTCTTCCCTCGGCTCCGACCCCGGGAGATGGGTCTAGCTGACATGACTAAGCCGCAGATAAAATCATTGCTCCCTCCACCATTGAAAGCTTGTTAGTCGGCTTAAAGATTACTTTAAAGGATTATGGGGGTTCGAGGGTTCCCCTTGGCTTTTCGTCCGAGTTCTACCGGAAATGGGACGGGGGTACTTACCGAATGGGTGAACATTACCCCGTTATTCGACAGGATAATTTGATGCGTGGATGATCGTGGTTGTCTCAGTTATCTCCAATGCAGGTACTTTCATTTAGCGTTCAAGTCCTTCCTATAGCTGGTATAAGATGTTATACTTTACTACCATTCCTACTAGGGCCTAGGGCACTTCAATTATCACTACCCCCAACAATAATGTACAGGTACCCAGTTACACCTGGGTGGAGAGTGGCCAATGTGGATTAATATATTGTCAAAAGGTGTTAGTGCCGAGCCAGGGTTCGAATCCTAAACCCTTGGATTAAGAGTCAAGTGAATGAGCCACTATACCACGGCACCTCCACACGCATATAAACTGAATTAAGTGTCTGCTTTATATGCGATTGTGAGATTAGTATCTGAAATAATGTTTCATGGTATGGTGTTGTGACCATAGTTCACGCATGACCTTAATTTGCTCACAGTTCCATATCTTTAAACAAATCAGCAAGATTTTGAAAATCTGATACCATCAATGGAAAGGGAAACATAACGTTACCTAGTGACGTAATTCTCTTTGAAATTGAGTGCCAAAGTATGGATATAATGAAAAAAATCGGCAAATTTGTGCAGCCTCTAGCGTCCGTTCCGAAAAATATGAATGGTTTTCTTTGAATTCGAATTTAATTACCACTTTGGACACTTTGAAAAACGTCATCACATGTACTGTTCAAAATAAATTTAGTATCTGTAGACTAAGCCCAATCCCAATACCTTCGTAAGGAGGAAAGGGACAGTCATAACCTTTTTTTCCCTCTCGATTGTATTAAATAGATTGGGCATCTTTGTCTCAGTTCCCAAACAAACTCCAAACAAAATCAAATTTTGTGTTTTCCTAATAGTTTTCATAAAACTACAGTCTATTAGGTAAAACGAGGATAGGAAAAACCGGTCACTCAAAGATTTTTACTCTTTTGCGGCACTGACACCATATCACAGACACTGATAACACGTGAGGCCTTGCATCTCAGATTCAACATTGTTAAACGATGCCTTTAAAGTCCCTGAGTTCTGTAGTACACTCATCCTCCCACGTCCCTGGTAGATATGCTTTGTTCTCCATCTCTCACCCTGGGAAAGATGAGATTAATATTGTCTCCCTATTAGTCTGTTTACACTAGAGGGAATTCATACGGAACTCGTGGCTAGAAACGCCGTATAAAGAATTACTTACGTAAATCGAGACTACGGTGTTGGTTTGAACGGAGCAAATAATAGTTTTATTTCGCGGATACCGAAAATTATATTGCTTTTTGTAGTTTTTTCCCATTCGAGAAAATAAATTATCGAACATCCTATGGGTTAAACAAACAATTATCCGATAAT